TCTCTCTCTCTCTCTCTCTCTCTCTCTCTCTCTCTCTCTCTCTCTCTCTCTCTCTCTCTCTCTCTCTCTCTCTCTCTCTCTCTCTCTCTCTCTCTCTCTCTCTCTCTCTCTCTCTCTCTCTCTCGCTCGCTCGCTCGCTCGCTCGCTCGCTCACTCAAAGAGAACAGCATTTCAATATTCCATTCATATTGCTACAATCTGGTCAGTGTATCAATGACCGAGTTAAGCTTGACTGAAAGTATCGCGAGTTTTTTAAATTTTTTGTACACATATGTGTTGGTCATTGTATGGTCAAATAATGTATACACTCTGAGGAAAATGTCCGGTTAAATATAATCGGATAATCCAATAACATAATAACAAACAGATATATCCAATTAAATACATCCGATGAAAAATATGATCGGTTTTTCAATCAAATTTCATCGGTAACTGCATTTCACCGGATGTATCCATAATTTAATCGGAAAACGTAATCGGAAAAATTAACCATCGGAAACACTGTTTAATAGGTTTATCCGATGAAAATGTTTCCCAGTGCGCCAATGCCTAATAATGCAATAAAATTCTACAGTAATGCCCAGCGGACATTACTTTATCTTATTATCTTATTTTATCTTCATAATGCCCCAGCAAGCTCAGATAATATCAATGTCAAAAACGTGCCTAGTAATGCCGTAAATTTGTACACCAAAATGTCCTCAGCGATTTACCCCTCGAGATATATACAATTATATTTCATTCTTGATTGACTGCGATGAATCGATAATTAAATATTTAATTTTTCCTAGAATTAATGTAAATTTAATAAGAGAGACAAAAAGAAAGAGGAAATAGATTTAAAACATCTAACAGTTAACACGTTACAATCCATCGAGCGATACCCGTGTTGATCTTATCAGATTAAAAGGATTCGTCAACCATTACTAGTTTCGTGACGCCCAAGGCGCGATTACCTCAGTGAAGCAGTTAAAAAAAATGAATATTGCATGCGGTGATAAATCTAGGCCGTTCTCTGAGATTAATACCTCACCTGATCGTTGTCTTGTTGATCTTGGCCGTAAGTGGGAGTATCACCATTAGGGGTGGTGGCGGCGGAGGGTCGCTGTGACGTTGACAAGTTGATCGCGCCGTCTCCGTCTGTATCATGATCCATTATGCCATCGTCCTGAAATCACGATCATCGTTACGTCAGTACACGTCTCTGCGCCGACTATAAACCGAGTGCGCGCTTTTGGAGAACACGTTGCTACAGTCTCCCTATCAGCGCAATTTCATTTATTGTCAGAATGTAGCAATAAATAACATTAACATATAACAGAGATTGCTTTAATATAATATATTGAAAAGGACCGCAACCCATGGTGGAAACGTTGCAAGCCTTGAACATTAAAACTGCCAGATCCGGTCAAACAAACTTGAAGTGGTTAATTATTGCTGGCGACCTTGAGGATTAAGTGATAATATATTGAATCTGCATCTGTGTATTATAACAATAGCTATTGCAATACAAATTGTCACTTCTAAAAATTGTCCGTCGTCTTATAGTCACATTTGTACTGTTTTACTTCTTTCACGTAGCATATAAGCCATTGTTGAGAAAAAAAAATCTGAGGGCCCGTCAAGTCGTGTACTCGCGTAAACTTACACGGTCGGTCTCGCGCGCGTGGTACTAGCTTCGCTTACACTTGGCGCGAGACACTACCGTGTCTCGTGATTTTAAGTGAATAACCTGAACGTTTAAAATGAAATTTTGCTTTGTGGTTGAACTTGAATATTGAAACTCCGCTGTCTCATATTAGAAGCCTATCTCGTAATAGGGGACTTTACTCCACTAGCGATAAATTTCCCAGAGGACAATTCATTGAAAGAACGACGCACAAGTTACACACAAATACAAATTTAGCACCAAGTTTTCAGTGAGAGCTACTGAGAGATAAATAGATACCGGAAGGGTTCGGAAAGACAGCCGTGCAATAAGCACACGACAATCCAACGTAAAGCGCGTATTTCAGGGATATTCGGTCACGATCGCGGAATGTGGTAATCGTGACGAAATCTCGAAACATGCGCTGCAGTCCGACATTGCCCTCGCGCGAGCCGTGATTTTAGATCGAAGTCTGACGCACGTGATTCCATCCTAGCCGGCGCAAGAGAAACAATGTTTCGCGGCTGCGAAAAGCTAAGAATACGTACTTTCCCGGAAATGCGTAACATCCCGCTAAGATTCTGCTAAACGCCGAGACTCTGCTTCTCATCATAAGCGACGTATAATACACAATACCTGCGCGGTTATTGTAAATATTTCGGAGCATCGCGCGATAGTTCAGCCGCGTGTAAATAATTCGTAAATTCCGCCGTAGCAGAGGAAAGTCCCCTATTATGGGACACGCTCCTAATATGAGACAGCAGGGTTTCTGCTAAATTAATAGGCGTCATCTGTTGGTTTCACCATAAATTTATTGCCCTTGGAGTGAAATCTGTTTAGTGGAAAATTCATTGTTATAGCGAATTCGATTGCTTGCACTCGTGCGCACTGAGTGCACATTAAGGCCTGTTTGTAGTCAATTGTTATAATTTAACTTTGTCTTAAATACATGTTCAAAGAGTGTTTAGCCAAGAGATGACCCGTATGGCTGCTATACTTTCTTAGCCAGTAAAATAATTTATTTTACTGGCTAAGAAATATTTCAGAAGATATTTAAGACGATTCTTAAATATGAGAATTGACTCTAAACACGCCTTAGTCATGTGCACTCAGTGCGCACTAGCGCAAGCGACCAAAATCGCTATTTTATCGAATAGCGAGTTTACCGCAAGCGCAAGTAGAAATCACCCCGAGTAAAGAAATAACTGAATGTGGGACGCGAGTATCCCGCGGGTTATCGTATTGCGTTCGCGTCTGCGCAAAACGGGTCCCGAATTAAGTCACTGTTATCGCATTAATTATGCAAGAAACATTAGTCACGCGGTATTCCTCGATCCCGCGTCTCACCGGCTAAAAACGGAGAGCGTCATTTTCCGCGGAAAGGAATAATTACGCGCGACGCGCAACCCGTTAATTAAACATCGGCCGGTCATTTCGAATTCCACGGCCAGGCAGAAGTGCGTGCGGAGAGTATCTCGCGGGACAGAAGAAAAAAGTACGCAATCAAGCGTCGTATAATTAATGCCCGTTTCGCAGCATCGATTATTCACGACGACAGTCGCGATTAATGTTGCGTCACGCCTAAAGTCGCCTAAGACGATCGCTTAATTAATTCTTAATTAATGTACGCGCCGGCGAAGATTCAATCAAGATTCCTTACATCCGCCTCGGTTTGCTGTCGGGCGCGCAGTCCATGGGAAATGACGGTAACGCGCTCGGACGGGGAAGAAAAGTCCGCCTCTTCCGCCGCGTAAAACGCCGCTAAGACGCTGCTATGACGCCGGCGAGCGGCATTTCCGGTCCCGAAGGCGCAACGACGTGGCGCGCGCGCGCAGCCGCGAACACTCCGCGCCCGCGTCCGCCGTAAACATCCGGCGTGCACACGCGGAAATCCCCTCGGCGGTGGCGGCGGAAGTTCGCCACCCCGGGATCGTGTCTCACGAAGGCACACCGGCTATACACGTTCCTCGCACTGCATCCAGAAAGCGGCACTTTGAACCTCCTCCGCGAAACTCCAGTCACTCGCGGCGGCGAGAAAGGGGGGGGGCGAATGGGGGGCAAGGGAGAAGGGCGAGACGAGAGCGCACCCCCTTGACAAACCGAGCGCGGCGGGCAGCGAAAATAAGGGGGACGAAAACGAAAGGAAGGAAATGAAAATGAGCGCGGGAAAGGGCGGGGAGAGCGCGTCGGATTCGCGAGGAGGACCGAAAGCGAGACGTTGGCGCGCCGAGCGAGCGGAGCTGAGGACTAAACACTAAAAGCGGCACCAGGCATACCAAGCAGCTCGACCGGCGGGGCTGTTGCTTATTGTGTAAATATAAACAAATATAGTTGAAACCAACCAACAGGCCTGCTTTCAGTTTCCCCCACCCCACGGCCCCCCTCGCTACGCCGCGGTCCTCCGCTCTCACTCATGTGTGTACCCTGCCTCCCCCCTGTGTTCCCGCGCGCTCCCCCCCCTCTACGCGGCACATCCAAAGACTTTCCCCCCTCGTCCCGCTTAGGCACCCACCCTTCGCCAGCGTCCCTGACCCCACTGCCGCCAGACTACATCACACGCGGCACATCGCTCGCTGACTCGCCTTACCATATGTTCATCTCTCCTCCTTACTCCCATTCTCCGCTCGCGGCCCCGTCTCCCTCTCGCTCGTCCTCCTTCTCCCTCCTCCCTCTCCTTCTCTCTTTCTATACCCGCGCATCACACATCGCCGACTCGTCGCACACTGTCGCCGAAGTCGGTGGATTACGTGCCAGCGGGGCCCTAAGAGATCTCTTCGAGGCTCCTCTTTCCTTTTTTTTTGTGGGACGCCTCCGTGGTTCGTACAGAAAGGAAACGGTCCAAGTGTGCGTCTTTCTCAGATATTTCTGACGCGCGTGTTGTGAGAACAGCTATAATTATTCGGGACCAGCTTACGTGCCGAAGTTCCGCCATCAATCGATTGATAGTACGAGGAGGAATGTACAATTTTTCCGAGGCTTCTGCTACGAACATTTCGCGCCTCGTAGTCGTGAAATATTAAAGAGAAATCTCTTTCAACTTGGCCGGAAACGTTGCGAGGAAGTAAAAACTTAAACAAGTAAAAATCTCATCCGAGATGCTTTAGATGCGCGGGTAATGTAGCGGGTAAGCAAATTATTTCTGAAGGTACGTAAATTACAGAGGGACATCGAACTTGTTTTAAATAGAATTGTTCGTTGTTCGTGTATTGTTTTTTATAAAGATTCCATGTACTTCGCAAAAATGCGCAAAATGTGTTTGCGTACGCAATAAAATACACTTAAAATACGACTGTAATTTTGTTAACATAAGCATTTAAAACTCGCGTCCCAAAATGTTACGAGGCATCGAGTCAAGTTGTTAACAAATGTCTGCCGAATAAATACTTCTCTCTTGGAAATTATGTGTCACTTCGAGTCCCTGTCTACAATAGGTGCTTTAAGCCTAAAACCAATGGTGCTAAAACCAATTCCAATCCAATCCGAGTTGGTAATTGCTGATTCGGCCTTGCGCGATTGTCTTCTAGCCAATGAGAGCCGACTAAGTCGCTGGCTGCACTCTCATTGGACAATCGTCATTCGCCAATCCCAAACCAGTCCGAGTCGGCAATTGCTAGTCTGATTCGGCCTTAACGCACTTCACGACAAGCACCTTACGACTTCACTCCGCATTTCGCGAAAAGAAACCAAGTGGACGGTGCAGGTATGGAAATCCCATTCTTTGGTTAGCTAAGTATATATACGTGCAAGAGGCGGTACGCACGAGCGATAAATACGCGTGTACACACGTGTTGCCTGACGCAACTTGAACCACCGGCTCCGAGTTTGTACAGGCAAGCCGGAAATGGGGGACAAAATGTTCCCCGAAACGACGTACGTCCTTAAATATTCCTTTCACTCGTTGGCTCAGCTCCTCGACAATTACACGATGTAGAGCGATACTTCGATAATGCGCGCGTACTCGGATTTCGAATTATTATAATAGATATACCACGGACTCGTTTCGCACGCGGACATACCAGAGATCAAAGTTAATTGTCACACGGTGGCACGGTGATTCTGCGGGGGATGAAACTGTGGCGATCTACCCTGTAGTTAATAATGTGCGGAACAATATTTGTCCGTTGCTCTATTTATATGTTGAACAAATACAATTAAATGTGATTCGGGTGATGTTTTAATTGCCGAGAAAAATTAACAAAATTTAAAAAATTCATGCGGATGTTAAGAATTTAATTTAATAACTTGCGTATATAATTGTAGCAAATTATAATTATAGTAAACCCACGCGATAACGAATACGATATACTAAATTATGAAATCTCGAGTTATTAATTATTTTGGCAGAGCGAATTTTTTATTGACGATATTGACAGAGTAATTCGTACATTAATATACAACTTAGGACCAGTTTGACAAATGTCGGTTAACCGTCAACCAGTGTTCAGTCAACTCCCTGTCTTCTTCTATCGTGTTATCTAAGAAGAGACAGAGAATCAATGAACCTTCGGGTAGCAGTTAGC